GGGGGGAGAGAAAAGGAGAGTGGAAAGGAGGAGGAGAAGGGTGGGGAGCTGGTTGCAGTTTAATCTCCTTGTAAAAACATGCATATAATGTAGTGCTGAGAATGAAATGGGGAAAGCCATTTGGAAGAGTGGCAGAGATGTACAGAAATGTGGGAAGACATGGAATAACACCAAAAGGCTAGCCCAGGATAAGGAAAGGTGGAAACGTTGTGTTTCTGGTCTTTACCCTAATGCAGGGTGAGAAAGGCAATGATGATGATGATGATGATGATGATGATGATGATGATGATGATGATGATGATGATGATGATGATGATGAAGATGATGATGATGATGACGATGATGATGATGATGAAGATGATGATGATGATGATGATGATGATGATGATGATGATGATGATGATGATGATGAAGATGATGATGATGATGATGATGATGATGATGAAGATGATGATGATGATGACGATGATGATGATGATTATTTTCACTCGCCATGTTGAGTATCTCGACCATTCTTCTGAGGTGTTTGTCCTTCTTAGCCCTGTTTGGCACTGACAGGCAGTGTGGACGCTCTCTTCCTAATATATGTGACTTGTGTTGATGGGATTGTACAAAGACGTTCATTGATATTATAATGTCGTCGTCATTGTGATATTATAATATCGTCGTCATTGTGATATTATAATATCGTCGTCATTGTGATATTATAATATCGTCGTCATTGTGATAAGATCGTATTGAGGTGTGCTGACAAAGTGAGTTACTTCTCGCAATCCACAAATGGAGATATTGGCCTAAAATCTACACTAGAGTCAAATTCGTAGATTTTATATCGATGCCATGTTTTTTAAGGCATGTGCCTTTTATAACTTCATACTTACAAATTGAAAAAACCTCACCTATAAGTGTGACGTATCTATTTCCATAGGTCTCGAATCTGAGAAGTAACTAATTTTGTCAGCACACTTCACAAGTCAGTTATTTCCTTCTCCTGAAAAATTTACCTGATGTCACTTAACTCTTTTCCTACCAGGCCAAAATCCACCACTGACCCAGGGCTTTTCCCTGACCTATTTTTAAACCTCGACCCCACCAAAGGAAAGTGTCAAAACATCCAACTAAACACACTCAAACCGTATCATACGGCCAAATCAAACTGAAGTTTTAAGAAATAATCTATCAGACGGTGGTACAATATTGAAGATTTATTCCAATTACATTAGTTTGGGGTTTCTAAAAGCGATTATGCAATATCGAACGTGTCATGTGAAATCAACAATTTTTCAGTTTTGAAAGGTCATAAAAGTACAACAACGGTATCATTTATACTTCACAGATAGGTTGCCTCAAGTAATGCAAAGTATGCTGAAAGTTCTGTATGTGTATCTATTATGGAAGTGAAAATATGAGACACATACAAGGAAGTCAGGAGAAAACTTTTCTTTTCATTTTTACGTTTCGAAGGGGACACAAAAAGCGCTGAAATGACAAAAAATCGTCTGTTAGTGCTATATTTTCTTTCTTATCTGCTAGCAAGAAGTCTATTCTATTATTTCGAAAACATGGATCGACCGAGAATTTCGTGATTTTTCATCACTGGATTGGAAAAGACAGCGAGCCACTCCAGCCATATTTTGCGGCCCTTGGTCTAGCGAGGCCTCGTCCGTGAGTCGCAATACGGCTCGCGGTTGGAAAAGTTTTAACCGATCTTATCACAATGGTGAGGATATGTGTTTTCTATGTTCTTCTTTTATTTCTAATCACCAAAGCCGACCAGTCAGTACCTGTGGACTGACAGCTGGCCCCTGGCCTCGACCTTCTGGTTGGAATCTGACCCTGACCTTCAGACCAACGACAGCTGTGTGGCTTTCCAGAATACTCATTGGAATGACACGTCCTGCGCAGAAAAAAAACCTTTCATTTGTAGCATCAGGCCTAGTGAGTATGGTATACAGAATTAATTGGGTTAGCTTCATTATTGTAATGTAAACACGAACGGAGAAAAGGTGACTCCTTTACTGATGATAGACTTGCTCTGAACTGCAGAGCTTGTGTTTAACTACAAAACAAACTTTCTGTGCGTGGACCAGGTGTTTGAACAATACGAAGGCCAAACGCAGTGTCGCCACATAAGAAATATTAGACCTGTTTGTATACAAACACATACAGTCAGTGTTGCAAGCAATGGCATTAAGTCTGTTTGGTATCTATCTCTCTATCTATCTATGTATCTATCTATGTATCTGTCTATGTATCTATGTATCTACCTATGTATCTATGTATCTATCTATGTATCCATCGATCTATCTATCTATCGATCTATCCATCTATTTATCTATCACTCCTTCTCTCTCCCTCTCTCTTTCTCAATATATAAATGGGTGGTGCCACTGACTAGTGTTTTTTGGCCATTCCCAAAGGGGGGACATTTCTCGTTCAAGTACAGTAGAATTGTAAATGGGCTGGTTCATCATGTCACGCTCATAACTGTACCTGTTCTGCAACAGGGAACTGCTGCTTTTTCTTTCCTAATCCTTACTGTTGTCATTTTCCTCAACTTCTTTTGTATGTTTGTCACTCTCTTGTGACCTGCTATTTCTGGGGTGCCTTGATAGTCGAAGCAGACCCTGTGCTGTTGAAGCTAGAGAGGTGAGCAGTCTAAGTCTGATTCCCTTTAAAGATTTCTCTGTTGACACCCACCCCTTGACGCTCATATAACCTTATGCAGTTGTGAGCATCGTAAAAGCATCTACTATAAAAAACCTAACTTTTTCCTAGCCCCACCAACAACTCCAGCTTCAAGAGGTCACTGCGCAAATTTCGACCACATACCGTTTGGCGACTTCTGCTACCTGTCCTACCCAGACACCCAGGTGACGTGGTCTGAGGCCAACTACCAGTGCAGCGAGAGAGGCATGGAGATGGTCAGTGTGTCCAGCGCTGAGGAAGCTGGCTTCCTGTTGAGCCTGGTCAATCTGGACCCCACGGATACAGACTCTTCCAGCTATTATATTCCTACCAACGTTTGGCTTGGCTTGCGTCGTGACTCTAAAGGTGTGAGATGCGTACATAGATCACGGCGCACCGGCAGTGGAATTTTAGTTGCCGCAGGGGGTTCCCCGCCGGGCGCCTTATCACGTCGGGGTCATGGGGGTCAGCTCCCTGTCGCCGCTCTGTCTGGGCCGACTTAATTTTTAGTACTTTTCAACGTACAATTTAAGGTGTATCCTTGTATTTATGGTAATTCTCATTTAGTGCACCCAAAGCATGCATTTCT